TCAAGAGTTTTGGGGGAATTTCTGCATTCTGGGGACACTCTCTGGACATCAGAACTTCTCTATCTTCTCCATCCACAACTTCTACATAGACTAAATCTGAGTTACACAGGATCCTACATTTTTAGGGCATAAAGCCCCACCCACTAGTGTTCTAGGTTTCATGGAGTTTATTTTGTCACCAATTTTGTTGATGTTGTCTGTTGTCTTTTTTTCTTTTTCCATCCTAATTGCTCTCTCTCTAGTCTGAGGACATTTGGAAAGATTCAAACACTATACTGCCATCATCATTTTCTCTTTCTAGAAGTCTCTCATAAAATCTCAAGCAAAATGGTGTCAACCAAGAAAGAATTCACTAAGAATTAAAGTGGGCAGGGTTTTATTTGGGCAATTAGAATTGCAATTCAGGAAACATGGATTCAGATAGAAACCTAAATTTTGTTACAAAGAAGACAAGAGAGGGCAGGGTTATAAAAGTGATAGGTTACAAGAGAAGTTCTCAGTCAGGTCCATTATACAAAATAGGAATTGAAACTAGGTTAACCGGGATGGTTGAGTTAATATGTGAATAGACTGAAATTTGTCAAATTGTGTTGGCTTCTTTCAATGGGAAGCATGGGGACAATTCAGGTGTCACAGTGAGGAGGGAGTTAAGTCCAGGCTGAGGGCTTGCAGTTGACAAACACTTCATGGTTCCTCTGATAAGACCATGAATAAGTTCTTTCTCCCTTGTGATCTCCTGATCCTATTTTAAAAGAGATTCTTTTAACTAGGCTTGCTTGTTCCATTGTGAAATCTCCTTTTAGATTTCCTCCCTCTGATCAAGATCTTTCTTGACAAGAAAGCATCAATGATCAATCTTTTGGTTTTGGTCCCATTGTATTGCCAGAGTGGTTAGTACCTGCTCTGGGTCCATCATGTCCCTCAGAGTGGGGAGTCTCATATTCTTACATATCTTTAAGCCTGGGACTGCATTTGAGCGACAAGGAGACATTTTTGGGAAAGGAGCTTTAGGCTACATCAGTTGAAGTGTCATTTTCTATTGTCAAAGCATAGAGCAGATGAGTACTCCTCCTTGCTCAGCTAAAAGATAATCAGGGACTATCTTATTACCAAGAACTTTGGCCAGAGAGTCTAAGGATCTTTGTGGGGCTGCGTTGCTTTAGCAGCAGATTCTGCAATAATTTCAAGAAATAAGAAGAAGTTATTCATTATAGCCTCAATTATATTTATACCTAACCACAGAAGTAAGGACTTACCAAAGAAGTGAATCCTGAATCATGAACACCTCCTGCTAGGTCCTTTCTAACCTAACAATATAAATTCAGGGACGGGAGCTGACCAATGACATCTCTTACTTTGCTTTTGAAAGTGAGGGGCAAAATTAGATTTTTCTCCTCGCCTGAAATAAAAGGTTGTTCTAAATTCCAGAGGTCCCCTCTGCTTCGGAATGATCTGGGAGATAAAGACTAGGGTGTTATCTTTATAGGCCAATGCCAGAGTAAAGGAAAGAAAAAGAAGGAGAAAGGCTTTCATGTTTAGTTAAAGTATGAAGTCTTGATGCCTCGTCTTGGGCAGAAGCAGTCTACCTCAGTGTCAGCTACTTCTCTTCCTGGTCAATTTGATTTAGGGATCTCCAGCACCTGTATGGGACCAGCCTTTTTCAACTGTGAGATGTATACCCAAGGCTCAATACCTTCTAGTTTTGCAGCAGTGTCTGGTCAGGAGCACTTGATAAGTTCCCTTTCAATAGGGCTTGAAGGTTGATAGTGGGAAAAGTCAGGGCAGTGGATGGGACCCTTCTGTACTTACTACTCATATCTGCTGTGAACCTAAAACTTCCCTAAAAAATAAAGTCTATCTAAGAAAAACTCACTGGATGGACTCAGTAGCAGAATGGAGGGAAGAAGACAGAGGAAAGAGTTAGTGAACCTGAATATAAGTCAATAGAAATAATCCAATCTCAAAACAGAAATAAAAAATATTTTTAAAAATGAAAAGAGGAGGGGCGCCTGAGTGGCTCAGCTGGTTAAGTGTCTGACTCTTGATTTCAGCTCAGGTGATGATCTCAGGGTCATGAGATGGAGCCCCATGCTGGGCACCACACTGGGGGTGGAGCCTGCCTAAAATTCTCTCTCTCTCTTTCTCTCTTCCTCTGCCCCCCCTCAAATAAATAAATAAATCTTTAAAAAAAAAATAAAAAGAGGAAAGTAGCAGAGTAGGGAACTCCAGGGTTCTGTCTTTTTATTAAAAAAACAACTAATGAGCTGTCAAAAGTGTCAGCCTCATTTTTTGCAGAACTTTGGAGTCTAGTCAAGAACTTAAAACAACCAGGGGTAAGCTTAGTGAAGAAAGAAGCTGCTGCTTTGCAGAAAGAGAGAGGGCTATAGTGGTTCAAATGGCCCACTGAACATCCCCCACAGCCCTGACGCATGGCAGCCATGAGGACTAAGCCAACACTCCTGGAACAGGATGCTAGTGCCACAGGAAGCGACGGAGAGGTTACTCTCAAAGAATTGTCATTGTGAGTCCCAGCCTGTCTGGTGGCTCCGTGAAGGAACATGTAAGTGTTTGCTTTTGTTTTGCCTGACTCAAAGCATTCTTAGGACAAAGGTAGCTGCCCAGGAGGCTTTTGTTGTGTACATTTAAAGACAGAAATTTTAGGGGCACCTAGCTGGCTCAGTCAGTGGAGTGGGCAGATCTTGATCTTGAGGTCATGAGTTCGAGCCCCACGTTGGGTGTAGAGATGACTTAAATAAATAAACTTAAAGAAAAAGAAAGAAATTTTGGCTCTGGCAGCCTGGGGTTAGTTGGGACAATCACCAGATTGAAAAGCCTGGGAAAGAAGAAATTGGGAAAGGAAATATGTGATGGCGGGGGGTGGGGGCACTTTAATCAAGAAGGCCACACATACTGTCAGGGCTAGGCATGTGGTCAAAAAGGCTTGAGAAGACCCTCAGCTTTTATCTCTGACTGGCCTTCAGGCTCCATGCAAGCTGGAAGCAAAGACTAAGGCAGCATTGTAAACAACATGGATAAGCATTAAACTGGTGCCCCGAAAAAGCCAATCTGCAAAGACTAAGAATATATATATATATTTTTTGCTCCAAGCATTGAAGGAAACTGTCAAAACACCAAGTGACCATGACTACTAAGTTAGCTGAACATAGCTTTCACATAACAAATAGTACAGACTTGCCAAAAATAGTTTAGAGAAGTCAGTAAAAAAGGAAACAATAACAACCCACAAACAAGGAGCAGCAATAAACCCCGAGGAGGTGGGAATATCTGATTTCCAGAACTGTCACACTGTAATATTCAAAATCTCTAGTTTTCAACCAAAAACTTACATAGCATGCAAAGGAACAAGAAAATGTGGCTCATTCACAGGGGAAAAAAGGAAATTACAAGTGTCCATGAGGATGCTGGGGCATTGGACTTACTAGACAAAGACATGAAATCAACTCCCTTAAATATGCTCAAAGAGCTAAAGGAAGTCACAGGGAAAGAACTAAAGGAACCAGGAAAACACCATCTCACCAGATACAGAACATCAGTAAAGAGACAGAAATTATAAAAATGAATGAAACAGAAATCCTGGAGAAGTACAATAATTGAAATGAAAACTAACTGGGGGGTTTAACTGTAGATTCGAGCCCACAGAAGAATTAGGGAACTTGAAGATAGATCCATTGAGATCATCCAGTTTAAGAAGAAAAAAGAGAAAAGAATGAAAAAGTAAATAAACCAAACTTAAGACACCTATGTGACACTGTCAAGTACCAACATCTACATAATAGGAGTCCCAGAGGAAGAAACTAAAAGAATGTTTGAAGAAATAATGCCCCCAAAACTTCCCAAATTAGATGAAAATTATGAATCCAAATATCCAAGAAATTCATTGAGCTAAACATCAAAAAATTCAATAATAATAAAAATGGAGAAACATATACTAGCCAACATCTTAGCACACAAAGGTATACAATAAGTATTTGTTGGATTGATTTACAAACGATGTTGAAGACTACTGTTGCCCATGTTCCACACTGCCCAAACCTACTTTAAATCATTGTATCCACTGGCTGATCATGTGTCTGTAAACAAGAATACAGTCCCAGAGAGAGGGCAAGTGAATTATAGGGAAACTTCCGCACATTTTCACCACCCTGAACACAGTTTTCTTTGAGGTCACCAGGTCCAAAACTCACATTTTATACACAGCACAATCCTTTGGAGGAAAATTATAATAAACATTTGTTAGTTGTTTCTCTACCCACTACTTCTTTCCTTTTCCTTAACAATCTCCAGATTCTGCCCAGATGAGATTAACCCCAACTCTAAATTTAGACATGGCTTCTAGTTGTCTGCAGGTGATCAATCTTATATTTCTGCTTTGACCATCATGATTGGCTTAGTGATGCATCCATGAAGCAAGAAAGGCAGTGGAGACCAAAAAGACCATTTCTAGGTTGCTGTGTGAGCAGTGGAGTAAATAAAAATCTCTTTTTTGTTGAGTTTGTATCTGGAACCATGTCACTCCAAGGACTGGTCACCATCCTTTAACAATAAGGGTGGAACCAGTCTGCTGAGAGAGCGAGGAGGCAGAGACATGTACTGGAAGGCAAGAAACTGGTTCTAGGCCACATCGCTTGTTCCTCTGACCCAGTATTTCTCAAACTTAACAAGGTAATAAAATCCCAGACCTCTTCTCATTTCTACTGCATCAGAATCCCCAAGGAAGTCCTGGGAAACTGCTGTATTCTCACCTGAAACTAGCCCTTATGTCGAAGCTTTCAGAAATATGAACCAATAAATGTCCTTTATAATTTAAGAGAATTTGAGATCAGCCAGTTACTTGCCAATGAAAGCATCATCCTAACTGGTAGAAGCCAGCTAGATTTGTTTCTTTTTGGGTTTTCCCTCTTTCCTTTATAGAGAACTAAGCAACAGCTCTTAATGGGTTATGTTATTTACAGGCCTCTGATGAAGTTCAAAGAACAAGATCAGGCTTTTCAAAACAACCTGGAAAAAAACAGGTTGAGAAATACATCTGCTAATCTCTCTTCCCTCCCACTGCTCCTCCCTCTGGCTCTCCTTTCTTTGATTAACGGGGCCCTAGATCTTTTCAAAAAGACTTCTCGAGAGGCTTCCAGAATCACTCCTAAAAACTGGAAACCCAGACTCTCTCCAGGATGTACCTGAGCGCTACAAACCACCGCATTCCTCTAAGTGATGGAAACAGCATTCCTATCATCGGTCTTGGGACCTACTCAGAACCTAAACTGGTAAATTTCTCTCTCTCTCTTTCTCTTTTATTTTAATGTTTTGGAAACTTTCCTAGAGCATAATTTTTAATTCATTTTGAGTGGATTTCATTGGCTTACTTTTTATAATAATGAGAGTAATCTCCAAGGAGTACTATTTGGCATCCTGAGTACTGAGCCAGAGGTTAAAACTGTATCAGTTTATAATTTAAAATTATCTTGGATTAAAAGATGGGTCATTTCTTCTTCCCTTGCTGAAATTTAGCTGAATGCAGATTATTAGAATGAACTGAGTTTACAACTTGTGGGGTTTTTAAACTTATATTTGAGAATTTCCAGTTCAGTCTAACAAACATTTCGTAAAAACCTCCGAGGTATGAAGCACTAGACTATAGAAGCTTAAATATGAAGAGAACAGTGTCTGTGCTGTCTAGGGATTAAAAATCAAATAGAGGAAGCAGACTCTTTAATAGCTACTTGTAGAACAATGAAGTTGAGAGTAAATGCTCTCCTAGAACTATAAACCATCTCTCTGAAAACACAGACAAGGGAATAGTTAAATTTGACCTTCAAGACTGAGTGGGTTTCCATTTAAACACAGTTTCTACTTATAAGAAAAATATCTTTCTGCTTTCCTCATTGTAATTCAAATTTAATGCTGATTACCAGAATAAACAGTGGTATGTGTAGAAATGCTAGCAGATTTGTGTGATTGCATAGGAATGACCTTTGGAAAGCTGTGAGTTAGAAGGCAGAGAGGGAGAGCTGAGGCAGGACGTTTGGGGCAAAGGGGAAGTATAGAGGCACAAAGATAAATGATCTTTCTGGCAAAGGCCAAGCCCACCGTGGCTGGCACAAGGAATTAGTGGTGGAGGCAACAGCAGCTGGCTCTGGAAATGCAGGTTGAGACTAGATCATAAAGGACCTTGAATACCATGCCAAGGAGTTGGAACTTCACTCTGTATAAAAGGAGGAATTATGTGAAGTTTGGAAACAGAGGAAAAGCATCATGAGATCAGTGCTTCTGAAAGATGACTCTGGGGCAGCATAAAGAATGGAAGGCAGAAAAAAGAAAAATAAGCCAAGAGTAGTTAACTCTCATAGCACAATCCCACATTCCACTGCAACTGCCCAGTCCCCTTGTTTTTGATAATGCAAAGGAAAATCACTGTTGGAACAATTACAAGGGTCTGAGTCATTGGCCCCTTCCTCTTCTTACTTTGCCCATTGTCTGTCTATGACCTCATTCACAATCTTGGCTCCAACTACATTCATGCAGAGACACCTAAATCTCTATTTCCTTTTTTTTTTTTTTTTTGTTACATATCCCCATACAACTGCGGACTGGCTTTATCAGAACCACTTGGGAATTTAAAAAAAAATACAGGTCCTTAGGCCTCACCTCTGGTCTCCTGAATCTGGATCTTTAGGTGCAGAGGCTGCATTTAACAAGCTCTTTGGATAATTCTGTTGGACAGACAGTATGTACCCTGTCTTCCACAGACACCTCTTACTCAATATGACAAAACTACACTATCCATTTCTGTCAATGTCTAGTGCGTTGGGGTCCCTGGGTAAGGGTCTACGAAATCACCAGGACACAGGGGATACTTGCAACTGCATACTGCCGTTTATTACTCACATACCTATATACTCGCAGTGATCAGATAAATATAACAATGTATACTTAAAGTATCAAGCCAACATCCGTGAAGTGAAATATACACGAAATTCAATAAGAACAAAATACATCCTGTTTATGCTTGCAGAATAAAGAATTTTCTTAGCCATCCTTCCTTTGGAGACAACATGTTCTTTGTCTTTAGAAAGAACACTTCTGTTTAGAAAGATACACTTTAAGCTAGGCAAGAGCCACTTCCTGCTGATCCAGGCATTTAGGACTTGCAACATGAGATAAGGGGAAGAGAACATTTTCTCCTCCTGGCCTAGGCCTGCCTGGCCGTCCTTAACCTCAGTGCAGTCCTCAAATGATCTGGGCCTGCAAGGGGCTTACAAGCCTACACCATCTCACATTTCCCCTTCCCCCACCCCCCAAAATACTTCTCCTAGTAAATAATACTACCATTCTGAGCCCTCCAGGCCAGAAGTCTGAGTATATTCCTTCATTCTGCCCTCTTCCTCATATCTCCCCTTGTCCACATTATATCCAAATGATCGCTGTTCAATTTATCTCAAAAATGGGCTTTCAATTCACACCCTCCTCTTTATCTCCTTTGTCATTGCCTTAGTTTAGGTTCTTAATTTATTGTTAAGCTATTCTTCCAATTTTGTCCCCTCCAATTAATGATCCAAAATGGGGCTGTCAGGATTTTCCTTGGACCCAAATCTGATCATGTCACTCCTGTGCTTAATTATTTCAATGGCTCTCTGTCAATTATAGGGTAGGGTCCACATTCCTTACCTTGCACACTGAGCTTTCAAGGTTCAGTCAAGACCCATCTGTCCAGCAGAATCTACCACCACTCTTCCACCTTTCCCTCTGTGTGTAAAACATAACTGCCTAAGTTCCTTGAACAACTCTCCCATCTCCATGCTTGTGAACATGCTGCCTTCTACCTGGAACACTCTTTCTCTTGGTTTGTTCAGTTAGCCAACTTCTGCTCAACCTTCAGGACTCAGCCCAAGGACACCGCTCCTTAGAATCCCATCCCTCCAGCCACCACAACTTGCCCCTCTTGCATGTTCACATGTCCCTTTTACTTGACTCTACTGTAGCTCTTATCACACTGTATTGTAATCCTTGTTTCTCTGTAATCTGCCTCACAAGACTGTGAAATTCATTATGAAAGAGAATGTCTTGTTCAGCTCTGTATTTCCAGGATAGTATCTAGTATGTAATGGGTATTCAGCTGATGCTTTCAAATTAATAAGTTTATAAAAGGGGATCTCTATGTTTGTGAGCATCAGAGGCTAGGGAGATGTAAATAGATACAATAATAACAGCTAACATTTTGGGGACACTTAACATGTGCCAGGAACTCCTTTAAGTGCTTCACATTACATGTATTTTCTAATTTAATCCTCAAGACATTATGAAAGATATACCATTTAACCCCATTTATAGATGATAAAACTGAAGTATAGAGAGATAAAAAATTGTCCCAAACTTATAATGCTAGAGAACAGAGCTTGGATTTGAACCAATGTACTTTGGGTCCAGATCCAATGTTGTTGTTTTTTTTTTAAAAGATTTTATTTATTCATTTAACAGAGAGAAAGTGAGTGCACAAGCAGGGAGGGTGGCAAGCAGAGGGAGAGGGAGAAGCGGCTCCCAGGGGAGCAGGAAACCCCAAGCAGGGCTCTCTCCCAGGACCCTGGCATCATGACCTGAGCTGAAGGCAGATGCTCAACTGACCGAGCCATCCAGATGCCCCCCAAATCCAATGTTCTAATCCCTATACTCTATTGCCTGTTGAGAATATATCTAATGTCAATGAAACTGTGTATTTCTAACTATGACTTTCTATGTGTATTTCTATTTATGAAAGAACCTAGGAATATACATCCTGAAAGTATGTAGAATGTGTGTGTGTGTGTGTGTGTGTGTATCCTGAAACTCAGTTGGGCTCAAAGTGCTGTGCCTAACAATAAGTACTATTAAGTACCTACAATGTATCTAGTAATATTAAATGCTATAGGTTAGAGACATTCAAAATCAGTCATGTGTTATTTCCCCAAAAAAGAGTTAAAATTCACTTCAGAAGATAAGACATACACCAATTAGACAATATGACAGAAGAATACTATGAGAAATGAAGATCATGCATACACCAACTACATTTGTGATCAGAAATATTACCAGTTGTAAAGTAATAAATGGAGTTATTGGGTATGTCTCACAAATCAGAAACTCTAATGTAAAGAAAAATATACCACATTTATCTGGAAGGTCTGTTGGGCTGCAGAGGGAGATGAGGAGTGGAAAGAATGGAGTATCTCATATAAAGCAGATTCATGGCTTTCTATTCCAAGCTATGGAACTGATAACTCCTTTATCATCTTCCCAGGACTGATGAGGCAGAGGCTAGAACTACCCGTGCCCAAGTCAGCCACCATGAAATAAAAGTCCTCAATTAGATTTAACTTCAGAATCAGAATCAAGGCAAAAATCTAATGCCAAAATTTAGTCTTCTCTACTTGGCATGCCTGAGATTATTTTCAAATCTTCACTCCACAACAAGGGGTAGAAGGTGAATGCCAGGCTGAGGTAACTCTTTAACTGAAATTCATTTGTGTTTTGTGTATGTGGTCATGTCAGTCAGTGTCTGTCCTGGGATCCTGTTCACTTTTTACACAGAAGTTAGAGAGCAGGAGAGTGCCAGGGAAAGATCTAGGCAAATCTTCAGGGGGAGAAGGATGGGAGCAGACAATGAAGGCCAAAGTAAGGAAGGCTAATAATACCTCCTCTGACCTCTGCCCCGTTTACATTCCACCAGAGCATGTGGAGACAAGAACTGGGAAAGCAAGGGCACCTGGGTGGCTCAGTCATTAAGCATCTGCCTTCGGCTCAGGTCATGACCCCAGGGTCCTGGGATCGAGCCCCACATCGGGCTCGCCGCTCCGCGGGAAGCCTGCTTCTCCCTCTGCCCCTGCTTGTGTTCCCTCTCTCACTGTGTCTCTCTCTGTCAAATAAATAAATAAAAATCTTTAAAAAAGAACTGGGAAAGCAACTTGGAGGAACAGTACTATGAAGTTGTGTGAGGGCCCCCAGCCCAGCTTCTCCTGGCTTTCAAAGATTTTTCTTTCTCTTAAGTGGGTCCAAATCTCTTATAAAGGTGTTTCATGCCTGTGGACTCAGGGAATTTGAGATGGAACCAGAACTTAGTATCACCAAACACTCTGTGCATTACCCCACCTGATGATAACTAATGAAAACTAACACGTGCAAATTATCCAGGTGACTTTTTTCCTTTTGAAAGCTTCCCAGAATGTTTTCATACAGGGATGCAATAGTCTATAATAGCTTCCCGACAGATTTCCCTACAGCTCCATCTGGGAAT